CTGGAGAAGGGCAGAGGCCGGCTGAGCAGTCAGAGGAGGACCCAGGCCCATCCCCTATCCATCCTAGGTCATGCAGGGAGGAGAGGATCAGGGTAAAACGTGGTCTACTTGGGAGGAGAGGGCCATGATCCTCTTCATGGGTAGCAGGTGTGAGATCTGCATAAAAGGTTGGACCTGAGTGCTAACAGACACTGGAGACAAATTAGTGTTTTATTTCTAAAGAAGGTTTATCTTGGTTGGCATTCTTCCAATGGACTGTCCCTGGTTATCTTCCTGAAGTTGGCAATTAACTATCCTGGTCTGTTGAGGAACTTTATTCAATGCGGTTTGTTTTTGTTTTTTGCTTCGTTATCAGCTCTTTGAAAGTGAACTGTGTTTCTTGCCTTTGAAATGTTATTTTGACTCCTCCACTGTGAACAATTAAACAGTGAAGCCAAGTTGAAGGCATTAAAGGACTTTTATTTACGTTTTGGTTTTTGTTATATTTCTGAGATACTCTGGGTCATCACACTGGAAGGTGTTTAATTTTTCTTGCTATCAACATACTATCCAATGAGCGTTGACTCACTGGCCTTGATGCTGCTGCTGATGGTGCAGCTGCATTTTTTCTCCCTATTTTACTTGAATTTGTATTGCTTGTCATTTTGATTATTTTAAATAATAGGATATTTTAAGTAATAAATGGTTAGCAGAAACAATAATAAATCAAATAATACTTCACAATACCCAATTTACAGAATACACCCTAAAACAATCCACCACAGAGTTTCCTTTCTTGTCCCCAGTTCTTATTTTCAATCCTCAGATCACTTCACACTTTTAACTGTTATAATTCACAAAGCCAAAATATCCATAGTCCAGAGTTTTCTTCAAAAAGGTTGTTCTTTTCTTAATAAATTTGTAATCCACAAAGGCCCACCAAACCCCAAAATTGTGTCAGATTGATTTGTGAGTCACTAAATAGGAGAGCTAAAAGAAATAAATCTTCCACTTGCTTTATAAACAAATCCTGCTGTTTTCCAGCTTCAGCTTACTCAGTTTATTTAAAATCCATATGCATTCAGAGAGCTACAATGTTTAAAAGTCACAATGTTTCCACTGTGTTTCTCTGCAGTTCTCCATAAACAATTTCCTGGTGCAGGCAGTTTATCTGAGTCTTGTAACAATGTTCTTTCAACAAACCGCTCAAGGTCCACTGTTAATTTCACTTTCCTTCACTTTCACTTTAGTTTTTTCCAGCCAGTAGATGTCGATGTTGCTATATTTCTCTAGTCCTCTCCTTTTAGCTTAACTTAACTCAAGCCAAAACTTTTTCTTTTGGGGGTTTCAGGGTCCAAATTTTGCATTCCAAAAAAGTTTTTAATTCAGTAAAATCCAATTCATATCATTAAGATAATATGAATTATCGTCTTTTTGAACTTATTTCTTTCAAATAGTTCACTTTTCTTGTCCGGATCTATTTTCAGCTCCTATGTTTGTTTGCCGCTATTCTTAGAGGGTGGGAGATAGGCAAATCCCCCCCTCCTTCTTTTGTAGTCCCACTGTCACCCAGGCCAGGTATTGAGGGGGCAAATTCCTCATCAGAAGTTGGAAAATTCTCACCCAGTTCAGCCACACTGTTCTTCAGTCTTCATTCATTCTTCTCCGGTCAGGCTGTCACAGCCTCGGTCAGGCATGTTATGGCCGTCTTTTTCTTCCTGCCGGATTGAGAGCTTCCTCCGGATTGAACAAAGAGTTTGCAGTCTCCTTGTGATCTACGGAGTGTCCTCTCTATCTTCACCACCCCTCCAGGGTGGCTTAGGTCCCAGGAGACCGTCTAGCAGGAGGAATTCGGCGAACTTCCATAGAGCCCTATGAAAGTGCACCATATTGCCGCGACGTCAGCTCCGCCTCTCGCGATATACTCTAATTCAAGGGTGTCAAACTTGCATTGTAATGGTGTCGTCACGTGACGTATCACAACTTTTTTCTCCTTCACTAAACCGGTTGTGGGCGTGGGCACGTGACGCATCCGGCCCATGGGCCACGAGTTTCACAGCCCTCCTCTAATTGAAAATAATACAAGGAGAGAAAGGCTTGTTCTGTGTTTTTGATCTCTTACACAAGATAGCACCTTTTCAATTTCTTCTACCAGGGTAGGACAACATCCTGGTAGAAAATACTAAATTAATTCCATTAAGGGATTGCTTCATTTCAGCAAGAGGTTACTTTAATCATGTGTTATAGAATTCTTCTAAATCTATGTTGTCTCAAATAGTGAAGAGGAGAGAGAGAGAGAGAGAGACTTGTTGATTGATTGACTTGTTGATTCTTCAAAAAGGGAGACCCAAGCCTAGTTGAAAATTACAGACCAATCTCCTTATGCTGCGTCACCTGTAAAGTCATGGAATCAATTATTAACCAATCCATCATCCTCCATTTAGAGACAAACAACCTACTCTCCAATAAACAATTTGGTTTCAGAAAAAAACTATCCTGTAATCTGCAACTCTTACACTGCAAAAACATATGGACTACACAACTCGACCAGGGCAAAGCAATAGACGCAATCTACATAGACTTCTGCAAAGCCTTTGATTCAGTGGTACACGACAAACTACTCCTAAAAATAAAATCTTATGGTATCTCTGGACAACTGAATAACTGGATAGAAGCATTCCTGTCAAACAGACAACAAATGGTCAAAATTGGGAACGCCCTATCAAATCCAGTACCTGTCAATAGTGGTGTTCCCCAAGGCAGTGTTCTAGGACCAACTCTCTTCATAATCTACATAAACGACCTTTGTGATCATATCAAGAGCAATTGCGTTCTCTTCGCTGATGATGTAAAGCTGTTCAATACCACAGACAACACTACTACCCTACAAAAAGATCTAGACTATGTATCTGAATGGTCTAACATATGGCAACTTCAAATCTCAACAAATAAATGCTCTGTCTTACATATTGGTAAAAAAAATCAGAAAATAAAATACAAGCTGAATAGTCAAGATCTTGTTGATGACCCAAGCTCTGTAAAGGACCTGGGAATACTCACCTCTAATGATCTAAGTGCTAGAGCCCACTGCAACTACATAGCCAAAAAGGCATTAAGAGTTGTTAACCTAATCCTACGTTGCTTTTTCTCTGGTAATATCTCACTACTAACCAGAGCATACAAAACATTTGCTAGACCAATACTCGAATACAGTTCATCAGTCTGGAATCCTTATCACGTATGTGATATTAACACAATTGAGAAAGTCCAGAAGTATTTCACAAGAAGAGTTCTCCACTCTTCTACCCGTTGTAGAATACCTTATGCCACCAGACTCGAAATTCTAAAACTAGAAAACCTCGAATTACGCCGTCTTCGGTCCGACTTAAGCATGGTATATAAAATCATACATTGCAATGTCCTACCTGTCAATGAATACTTCAGCTTTAACCATAACAACACAAGAGCACACAACAGATACAAACTCAAAGTAAACCGCACCAAACTTGATTGCAGGAAATACGACTTCAGCAATAGAGTGGTCAATGTCTGGAATACTCTACCCGACTCTGTAGTCTCTTCCCCAAACCCCAAAAACTTTAACCTTAGACTGTCTACTATTGACCTCACCCCTTTCCTAAGAGGTCTGTAGGGGGCGTGCATAAGCGCACCAACGTGCCTACCGTCCCTGTCCTATTGTTTCTCTTATTCTTTTATTTTTCTTATATGTACCCATTTCATATATTCACAACTATGTATACACTTGTACTTATTATCTTGTAAACAATTGACAAATCAAATAAATAAATAAATAAATAAATTGTAAGCTCCTTGTGACTGAAAAGAATTGCTGCAAAACTGAGTTTCCTGAAGTGGTCCACTAGACTCCTAAACAACTGAAAAATGATCTAGTAAAAAGAAGTCAACCAAAAGAGCAACATGCAAACAAAAGCAAATAAAACACCCCCAGGAGCAAAACAAATTAAAGTTTAATTTGTGTGTATTGTTTAATGGACTGCTAAATTGGCAAAATGGACTGCTAAATTGCCCACGCCCACCCAGTCACATGACCACCTAGCCACACCCACCCCGCTGGTCTGCCCCCCCCCCCCCCAACAGTCTGAGGGACCGTAAATTGGCCCCCTGTTTAAAAAGTTTGAGGAACCCTGGTCTAGTCAAAGATTTAAATTTAACAGATAATCAGAGTTAGAAGGGACCTTGTAGGTCATCTAGTCCAACCTCCCTGTTTTGCCTTCTTCTT